CATGTTTAGAAAAAGTAAACGGAATGAACGGGGTAAATATGAGCCTGGCGGCAGGCCCCCAATCCTGGGGCCACGAATGAGCAAATGAATGCACAAATGACAATTTCAATCACGGCACAATGACAGGGCGGATGCATGAAGGGTGGGCAATTGATTCCAGAATTGCTTCTCGATTAAGCAGAGGCATTAATTCATTCCATGATTCAATTGACATTTTTGCCATGTACTTCACCCAGCGGTGAAAGTTGGCGCTTCTCCGGCCTGCCTTTTTTCCATGCCAATGCTGCTAAAAAGTCCTCCAGCTGGATAGAGGATGAGATGGGAATGGGGCAACGATGGGCTGGACAGATGGGAAAAGCCCTTGTAAACAGGAGCTTTGCGGTCAGAGTTATGCCCATATTACCAGGAAACGGGAATATGCACCTCTTGTGCCCAATCCAGTGCCAAGCCAGGATTTGCTGGCACTCGTGAATGCTTTTCTCCAGAATGAAAAGTCTCAGTTTGTTCTGAAAATGTTAGGTACACTTTCCCATCAGAACAGAAAGAGGATCTTTTTATTTTTTCCCCATTCGCAAACAAAGCTTTAAAAGGGGAAACAAATAGCTAATCCGCAGAGGCAGTTGAATGCACCGTGCCCAAGGTGACATTTGGGGTCACAACAGGGACCCGCTAATTGGCAATGGCTTTGGCAGTGCTTGGAAGGGAGCTGCTGGGTGCCTTCCCAAGCCATGAGCTATTCAGCAAAGTCTCCTTTTGATCCTCTGTCCTTTCTTTTTCCCTCTCCTGGGGTTTTCTTGGGGGAGCAGAGGGGCCCTTGATGCCAGGCCTGCAACGGGGTAAAGCCTGCTCTCCTGGGGCCAGCCAGGCATTACCTCCAGGCTGCTAGCGACATGGGGGCGGCAAGTGGGTTTGACTCACAGTGTGCCACCAAACCCCACCACCCCAAAGGCCATCTAGTCCAGCCCCATTGATATCCAGGAATACACAGTCCAAGCCCTCCCAACATATGCCCATTTGACCTCTATTTAAACACTTCCAAAGAAGGAGACTCCGCCACTATCCAAGGCAATACATTCCACCATTGAACCACTCTTCCAGTCCAGACGTGTTTCCTAATATTTAAGTGGAATGTCTTCTCTTCTAACTGGAATCCATCGGTTCACGTTCTGGTGCCAGCAAACAAGCTGGCTCCATCTTTCCCAGCCCATCTTCAAATACGGCGGCTTGTGTTTCAGTTTAAATAGGTCTGGAATAGGTCTTGAAATATGACGCAACGTCTGGGAACTGATCGCTCTTGGAGCGGCATCCTTTGCCAAGCCGAGTGACGGAGTTTCCTTTGGACCTTGGCCTAGAAGAGGCCGGATCCTCGGCTGGAAGAGACGGGACAGTCTGGGTATCCTATATGGTTTGGGCAAAGATCTGTTTCCCAAAGATTTCTATTGAAACTCGCATCTTCATGCCAACCCTCTACATGGTTCAGATTTGGAGGAGCTTTTGCCCTCTTCTGCAACGGAGTGAAAGCGGGAAGGAATGGTCACCCAATGGGTTTCCAGTGATGAGTTGAGATTTGAACCCAGATTTCCTAAGAGTTCCCATCCAACACTCAAACCAGAGGCTCCATGGCAAAAAGGATTTTGGCAGTGAGAAAAGGGTGGCATCACAGGATGTACATGTTTTCCTGGCTTATTGGGGATCATAGCAATCCACTTTGAACATTTGTTGTCCACATTGTTATATTATCGCAGCTGCACTACCAGGATTCTAGTCATTTGGGGGATGTTTTACATCAGCTGAGGAAAATGGCTGGGAAATGATATTTGTATATTTGGGAAGAGCTCAGGAAATGCATTTTCTTGTACTACAGTGCCCAGAACCCCCTGGTTGCTGTGACCAGGGGATTCTGGGAGGTGTAGTCCCAAGTTAAGATCCTCAAGATCTGCATGGACACAGATGTAATGGTTTCCAATATTCTGGGCACTGCTGGATGAGGTTTTTCTGTCATCCATCCTCCTGAAATAATAATAATAATAATAATAATAATAATAATAATAATAATAATAATAATTGGAATATCTAATATCCTAGGCCAGCATTTCTCAGCTTGGAGGTCAGAACCCCTGGGGGGGGGGGTTGTGAGGGGTTTTTAGAGGGGTCGCCAAACACCATCAGAAAACATATATTTCTGATGGTCTTAGGAACCCCTTTGGCAGAGAAGGCTGAAAATCTCTCCGCCTGTCCTTCTCATCCTTTTTGGAAACAGAATGCGAATCTTCCCACCAAAAGCCTTCCTCCGCTGTGATTGGCCGGACTCTCGGCCAGCCACTCAGCCAGGGGAGAGCTACTTCTGAGACTCCAAGTGGGGAAGGAAGAGCAGGCGTGCTCAATGTATGGCAGCGTGGTGGGCATCTGTGGGCAAGGGAGACTGGAGGGAGGTTCGCACTAGTAAGTCCTTTCAAGGCATGGGGGTTCTATGTGGGGAATTTGGCCCAATTCTGTCCTTGGGGTTCAGAATGCTCTTTGATTCTAGATGAACTATAAATCCCAGCAATGTCAAGGTCTAATTTCCCCAAACTCCACCAGTGTTCACATTTGGGCTTATTGAGCATTTGTGCTAAGTTTGGTCCAGATCTATCACTGTTTGAGTTCACAGTGCTCCATCTGCATATAGGTGAACTCAATGCGCACCAAATCCTTCCAGTATTTTCTGTTGGTCATGGGAGTTCTTTGTGCCAAGTTTGGTTCAATTCCATTGGTGGTGGAGTTCAGAGTACTCTTTGATTGCAGGTGAACTATAAATCCCAGCAACAACTCCCAAATGACAAAATCAATCCCCGCAACCCCACCAGTATTCAAATTTGGGCATATGGAGTATTTGTGCCAAATTTGGTCCAGTGAATGAAAATGTATCCTGCATATCAGATATTGACATGATGATTCATAACAGTAGCAAAATTACAGTTATGAAATAGCAACAAAAGTAATGTTATGGTTGAGGGTCACCACAACATGAGGAATTGTATTAAGGGGTTGCGACATTAGGTAGGTTGAGAAACACTGTCCTAGGCCCTTGGGAAAAGCTCGATATTCAGAGATGTATCCCAGACACTTGGACTTAATGTGCATGTGTGCTGCGGTGTTATGTACGTGTAATAAATAAATAAATAAATAAATAAAAATAAAATAAAAAATACAGTATCATTTTTAATGTTTAATTCTCTTTTCCATATCCATTCTCCCACTAGCCAGAGAATTATTCTTTACTAACTTAGGCAATCCCTCGTAGTCCAAGAATGATGGTCCTCTAAGTTCGATGTCCTGGCAGAGGGTTCGTAGGTGACTGTGGAGCCCTATTCTTGATCTGCATCTTCTTCCGCAGTGAGGGCATTGGTTTCCAGGTGGAAGGCGGTCCCGGTTGGGGTTGGCTTGACGCACCTTCCTCTTGGTATGTTTCTCTCCTTCACCCTCGATTCGTGCCTCTTCAAATTCTGCAGCACTGCTGGTCACAGCTGACCTCCAGCTGGAGTGCTCAAGGGCCAGGGCTTCCCAGTTCTCAGTGTCTATGCCAGAGTTTTTGAGGTTGGCTTTGAGCCCATCTTTGAATCTCTTTTCCTGCCCACCAACATTCCGTTTTCCGTTCTTGAGTCCAGAGTAGAGCAACTACTTTGGGAGACGGTGGTTGGGCATCCGGACAATGTGGCCGGTCCAGCGGAGTTGATGGCGGAGGACCATTGCTTCAATGCTGGTGGTCTTTGCTTCTTCCAGCATGCTGACGTTTGTCTGCCTGTCTTCCCAAGAGATTTGCAGGATTTTCCAGAGGCAGCGCTGATGGAATCATTCCAGGAGTTACATGTGACATCTGTAGACTGTCCACGTCTCGCAAGTGTATAGCAGGGTTGGGAGGACAATAGCTTTATAGACAAGCACCTTGGTATCCCTACGGATGTCCTGGTCCTCAAACACTCTCTGCTTCATTCGGAAAATTCTGCACTCGCAGAGCTCAGGCGGTGTTGTATTTCGGTGTCGATGTTGACTTTGGTGGAGAGGTGGCTGCCAAGGTAGCGGAAATGGTCAACATTTTCTAATGTTACACCATTAAGCTGTATCGCTGGCATTGGAGAGGGGTTGGCTGGTGTCCGCTGGAAAAGCACTTTAGTTTTCTTGATGTTCAATGACAGGCCGAGCTTCTTGTATGCTTCTGCGAAGGTGTTTAGAGTGGCTTGTAGATCTTCTGAATGCGCACAGACAACGTTGTCATCAGCGTACTGGAGTTCTGTAACAGGTGTTGTTGTAACTTTGGTTTTGGCTTTCAGTCTGCTGAGGTTAAACAGCTTGCCATCTGTCCGATAGATGATTTCGACTCTGCTGGGAAGCTTCCCATGCATAAGAAATAAGGTGGATGTCTATAGAGCAGTAACTGGAGAGGAAAATGACCTTTCTATTGGGATCCTACCAGGTGAAACAAGCAGGGGACAAAGACGTCTAGCGCTGCTCCAAGCCCAGGAGCCCCTCAGACACAGGCAAGGCAATCAAAGTGGGATCATAATGTTATAACTATGTAGTATGAGCTAGTCCTGCGTGTCGTTTCTCCCTGCCGCCTTGAGGGCTAGAAACTTTCCCAAAATGAATGTGGTTTCTCCAGATTCCGCAAGCGCAGTCCGCACTGGGATCACTGAGGGCAGCTTTCTGCCTGAAACTGGTTCCTGCTTGGATACCTTGGAAATGGTACATTGAGGTCTGGGCTGAGCCCAGGGTGCATTCTTTTTCATGTCACAAATGTGACGACCCCTCCCTAGAGCCACAATGCCCCTTTGAAAGCCGTGACGGTCACATCCTGTTCTGGGTTGCATTTAAAAAAACAGGAGGCATTCTGTCAGTTCATTCTAAGGAGAACTGGCTGAGCAGTTCTTGGATGGTGAGTCAACCCTAGGCATTCCATGGGTCCTCCAGTTTGCCAAACCAGAAGTAGACTTGCGCCCGCTCTCTTGGTCTCTCTTTCGCAGTCGAAGTGAAGATCGAGGTGGTCCTGCCAGAGAAAGAGCGGGCCAAGGAGGAGATGTCGCCCAACGGGAAGGCCAGTCCCATCATCTACAAGGCCAACGGCACCTCGCGGCATTACCAGCTGGAGGAACACCCCATTGCCCTCAACCCTTACCGGAACTTGAAGGACGTGGTGGAAGCCTCCGTCTGTTACGTCAAAGACCTGGACAATGGGCAGTGAGTGTCAGCTGACTTTCTCCCACTCATTTGTCTTCTTCTTGATGACATAAACATGAGAAAAGAACACCAGGGAAATCCTTTTTTAAAAAAATTACACTTTTTAATTTCACTTTTGCACTTTTATACCATAAGAGTGGGATGGGGGAGGCCAAGAGAAAAATAATAAGTCAGTGATGGAGCTTTGTTAGTAAGTTAGGTCTATCCAGAAGTCTAATGTACATCCAAGAATGAGGAAGGGGAGCATATTGTTATACATATTCTATTTTTTTAAGCAGTGCAATTCACAATGTCTTTTGCTTAGGACAGGGGTCCTCAAACTAACCCGATATGGCCCTCCAAGGTCATTTACCTGGCCCTCGCTCAGAGTCAACCTAAGTCTGAAACGACTTGAAAGCACACAACAACAAGATCAACAATCCTATCGTATCAGCCAAAAGCAGGACCACACTTCCCAAGTTTATATTTATTAAAATTGTTCATCATTTTAATTATTGTATTGTTTTAAAGTGTTTTTTGCACTACAAATAAGATATGTGCAGTGTGCATAGGAATTCATTCTTTTTTTTTCAAATTATAATCCGGCCCTCCAATAATTTGAGGGGCTGTGACCTGGCCCTCTGTTTAAAAAGTCTGAGGATCCCTGGCTTAGGAGAAACAAAAAGAATTCTTTCTTCTTCTTCTTTTTTTGTTATTCCATTTGTCTTTCTTGTTGGTCTTCTTTCTTCTTATATTGACCCATCTTTTTCTTATTTTCTCCTCTGGACCTTTACCATTAGGATTTATTCTAGTTATTTTGTCATTTAACATATACATTAAAGATAAAGGTAAAGGTTTCCCCTTGATGTTAAGTCTAGTGGAGCCCAACTTTGGGAGGTAGTGCTCATCTCTGTTTCTAAGCCAAAGAGCCGGCATTGTCTGTAGACATCTCCAAGGTCATGTGGCTAGCCTGACTGCATGGAGTGTTGTTTCCACCAGAGTGGTATCTATTGATCTACTCACATTTGCATGTTTTCGAACTGCTAGATTGGCAGAAGCTGGGGCTAAAAGTGAGAGCTCACCCCACTCCCGAGATTCGAACCGCCAACCTTTGGTCAGCAAGTTCTGCAGCTCAGCAGTATTTTTTACATCACATTTTCTATTTTCCTTTACTTTTAAGAATAACATTTCATTTCTCTTTCTTGCTACTTGATCACGCTAGAGAATGAATATGCTTTAAATCCGGTTTCTGCCTCCTGCAGAATTCTGGGGTTTGTAGTTTAGTGAAGCCGTTAAAGACTCCTCCCTAAACTACAAACCCCAGAATTCTGTAGAAGGAAGCAACTGAATTTAAAGTGGATTCATTCTCTAGTGTGATGAGGTCCTTAGAAGCGATTTTGTTTGTTAATGTGTTAGCAATGCCTTTATAGACACCTGTTAGCTTGGTCCATCGTCTAGCTTTCTTTTATTATTTATTTATTTACTGTATTCAAATCCCGCCCTTCTCACCTCAGAGGACTCACAATTGGCAGCAGTTCGATGCCATTTCAACAGACGATAAAAATAAAGATAAAAATGAAAACAAAAAATTAAAAAGCAATATAAACATTAAAGCGCATTATTAAAATCACGCAATACGAAGATATAGTCAAAAGCTGTTTGGGTCATTATTGCACATAATTCCACTTCACTTATTGCACTGCACTATTGGCCAAAGGCTTGGTCCCAGGGCCATGTTTTTATTTTATTTCTGAAGGTCAGGAGGGAGGGAGCTGACCTGATGTTGCTGGGGAAGGAGTTCCCTAGCTGAGGGGTTACCACTGAGAAGGCCCTGTACCTCTTCCCCACCAGTCACACTTGCGAAGGAGGTGGGACCAAGAGCAGGGCCTCCCCTGACAATCTTAGCCTCCGAGGTGGATCATGAAGGGAGATAAGGGGCAGATAAGCTGCGCCAGAACCATTTAGGCTAAAGCCAGCACTTTGAATTGTGCTTGATAGCAGACTGGCAGCCTATGGAGCTGACCTAACAAGGGAGTTGTATGCTTCCTGAACGCTGCTTTGGTGAGATATCTGGCTGCTGTCCATTGGACTACTTGAAGCTTCCGAACAGTCTTCAAAATCAACCCCACGTAGAGCGCATTGCAGTAGTCTATTCTGGATGTAACAAAAGCATGGACCACTGCGACCAAGTCTGACTTCTCAAGGTAGGAATGAGCTGACGCACAAGTTGTAATTGTGTGAAGGCTCCCCTGGCCATCGCCAAGATCTGGGGTTTTAGGCTCAGTGATGAATCCAGGAGAACCCCCAAGCTGCGAGCCTGTGATTTCAGGGGGAGTGTAACCCACATCCAGCACAGGCTGTAACCCTACACCCTGTTCGGCCTTCCAACTGGCCAGGAGGACCAGATTCAATTCTCTCTCTCTCTCTCTCTCTCTCTCTCTCTCTCTGTACATACATAAACACATTCATATATGTAGATAGATAGATAGATAGATAGATAGATAGATAGATAGATAGATAGATGTGTTTATGTATGTACAGAGAGAAGCTGTTAGCCCCAGCTTCTGCCAACCTAGCAGTTCGAAAACATGCAAATGTGAGTAGATCAATAGGTACCACTCCGGCGGGAAGATAATGGCACTCCATGCAGTCTTGCTGGCCACATGATCTTGGAGGTGTCTACAGACAATGCCTGCTCTTCGGCTTAGAAATGGAGATGAGCACCAACCCCCAGAGTCGGACCCGACTGGACTTAATGTCAGGGGAAAACCTTTACCTTTACCTTATATGTACTTCTATAATTTCTATATCATTGATATTGTGCAATTTTTCTATTATAATTTCTTAACAGTTGACCCAACGGTTAGCATCTGTCTCTTAAGTTTTAACATACAAAATACAGAAGATAATGATGCATAGGGAGATCCTTAAAGCAAAGCCATGAACTGTACGGGGGGAAGAATCAGACCCCACAATGTATAGGTTCATCAAACCCAGAGTCGATTCACAGGATTCATTGTTAAACATTTTGTTGAGGATCCAGTCAGACAACTTAGACCTTTGTAAATGGCCTGACTTGAATAGTGGGTTTTCTCAATTCCACAGTTGCGTCTTCCAGCTGTTTGGGACGTCAACTCCCAGAAGTCCCTTCCTCCTTGGCCACCCATCAGGCAATCTGGGAGATGATGTTCATAACATCTGGAAGACCAGAGTATCTGGCATGACCTGTGCCCCTTGGTTGTGTCCAACTGTTGGGGCTCAGCAGCAAGATGTTGGGGATACTGGGGATTCTGCCTCAGAGGATGAGGGGAATTATGGATTTTTCACTAGATCTGTGTCTAATCTGGCTGAAACACAGACAGAAATGCAGGCCATAGATCAGAGAGATGGGCCGGCAGCTGCAGAAGAGATAGAAGACATTTGGAATTTTGTTTCTCTTGAGAATTGGCCGTCTTGGCCTTCTTGTCCTTTTCAGCCTTCAGAAGATGGGGAAGGTTACCCCGTGATATGAGATTAGGTCTCTACTTGGAGAGAGCAAAGGAAAGGTTAATTAGAAGGTCAGAAAGACTCTGTGAGAAGCAGTCCTTGAAATCCAGGTGCCGTGGGGATGATCTCATGACTGTTTGGTCAGGTTTGAGCTTAAATTAAGTGATGTTTTTCTGGGTTCTCCAGAGCAGACAACATTACCTTAAAATCAAGTTCATGTTAAGCTCTCAAGTTTGCCTTTGTTCCTGAATGAATTTTGTCTTGGAAAAGTACTGTATATTCCGGCATATAAGACGACCGGGCGTATAAGGCGACCCCCAACTTTTCCAGTTAAAATAAAGAGTTTGGGATATACTCACCGTATAAGACTACCCCTCTTCCAACGCACACCAAATAAAAATTTTAAAAGCATCAGATTTGATTTCAATATGGTATTTTTCCTATTACTGTACCTCCTTCTCTGCCTCTCAGATCTCTCACATGCCCACTTACACCACTTCACTGCAGTCTTCAGGAGTGAGATCTGAGAGGCAGAGGAGGAGGTACGGTAATAGGATACAAGGGTGGGCCAGACAGGTAAAAGAGTTGTGTCTTTCTGGGCACAGAGCCACTCTATCTCTTTTTTTCATACCCTGGGCGCCCCGGAGGCCTGCAGCTTGCTCCGCCCTTCACTTACACTCTCCCAGTGAGGCACCCCTTCACCTCACCATCAGGACCACATTAAGTCCACGAATCCTGATGAATGGATTTTCTTCTACCATACTTGTACAGCGTCACCCTTAATGCTTTCACACAGTCGCTGCATACAGCAGGGACACAGCCACTGCCATTTTTTAGCTCCCCCCACCATATGCGGCAACCACAAATTCTCCAATCCAGATTGGAAGTTTCAGCAGCCGCTCTATAAGATGACTCCTGGCGTATAAGACAACCCGCATATAAGATGACTCCCATGCATCAGGCTACTCCAGAGTATAAGACTGCTCCCGCGCATAAGACGACTCCCACGTATAAGATGACCCCTGACTTTTGAGAAGATTTTCTTGGGTTAAAAAGTAGTCTTATATGCCAGAATATATGGTATTTGTTTTTATGCCTATGGATTCATGTTCCTGTTTCATGCTCATGGATTTATGCCTATGTTCTTGACTTCATAGATTTCATGTACCTTGCTATCTTGAACTATTGACCTTTGTGTATTTGGACTATTGCTATTTCACAGACCCTTTTCTACTGCTTTCCCCTTTTGTATATGCTTTTTGTAAATAAACTGCAGTAGTTTGCTGCTACTGGACGCTGTGTGAAAAGGTGTTCCTGGCCTAGAGTGCAACACCAATGCCCATTGGATCACTCTTGCCCTTCCCCAGATGCGTATCTTCACAGTTCATGTGTAGTGTTTCCTTGCCTTTCTGTGACATAGTTGTGGATCCATAAAACTGCAAAATGCTGACCACAATGAATGATTTCAGCCATTAAAAAAAGCCCCACTTTCTCATTCTAGGATGCGAGAGGTCGATCTGGGCTGTGGCAAGGCCTTGCTGGTCAAAGAAAACGGGGAGTTTTATGCTATGGGTCACAAGTGCCCTCATTATGGTGCACCGCTGGTGAAAGGTCAGTTTGGTCTTCTCAAGGAGAGAAGATACAGAAATGGACATAAGTGATGATAAATTCTTGAGCTGGATGTTGAGGGTAATGGCTTTGTTCTGCATTCTTCCTCTGAGTTGTTATTGCCTGCTTTCTCTCCCCGTCCCCCCCCCCCCCAAAGTGGCAAAGACTGAGACGTCACTGTTCCAAACCGGCAGCTGTAATGATTGTCCTCCCAAACTCTTTACCGCAGGGGTTCTGTCCAAGGGACGCATTCGCTGCCCCTGGCACGGGGCCTGCTTCAACATTGGCACGGGAGACATCGAAGACTTCCCCGGCTTGGACAGCTTGCCCAAATTTCAGGTGAGAGTTCTGCACTGAAGAAGCTACAGGTCCCAGGTTTCTCTAGTGGTTAAGGTGACATTTGTAGCACTCTAGGTGAGGAATGTGAAGGTGTCCTTTGCACCTTCTCTACATCTGCATGATGTAGAGAGTTGGACATCATGTTCTTTTGAACTTTCCTTGAAAAGCCTTCTGAAAATCCATTTGAGGCTCTGCATCGGAGTCACTGGATTTTGCTGATGGGGGACAGCATCGCTAGTCTTGTGTTAGGCTATGGGATGTTTTGGGTGCCATTGGCAACTTGCGGCAGGCTTAAGGGGCTGGTTTTCCACCCTGGGACTGTTTTATTCAATGCTGACATTTCATCCTAGGTGAAAATCGAGAAAGAGAAGGTGTACATTCGAGCGAGCAAGCAGGTGAGTCCTGGGAGAAAAGCGTTGAATGTTTGCGGATCCATCGGAGTGGTGAATTCCCGACAGGTTTGGATTCAAAAGGCGGTCTCCAAGGTGCTGAACATTGCAGCCCCAAACCCTTTCAGCACCATGGAAAGCACATGCAGAATTTTTTTTGGGGGGGGGAGCAATTGAACATTGATTGACATATGTTTGAAGTTGAAATGTGCTGACATTTTAGCCCCATCCCTTTCACCTTTGGCCCCGCCCATCGTTGGGATGGTCCCCCTCAGAAACAGGATCTCCTACTGGAAGAGGGTGCTCACCCTTAACCCTCTTCGATGGCCAAAGAATGGTTCTGCTAATCTCATGAAGGAAGAGTGTTGCGTTAATTCATGCACGGGGAAGGATGGGCAGGCAGGCATGGCTGCTTTGAATGCCCACCTCTGGGCCCCAGGTGGCTTTAGCCAGACCCGGAGTTGTGTAGGCTTGGACGCTTGGTTGACTGGAGTCTCCCCCATTGACTACAGGCTCTCCAAACACAACGGCGCACCAAAGTGATGGGCAAGTGCATCTCCCTCAGCAACTACAGCATCAGCAGTACCAACGTGCTCATCATTGGGGCAGGTATGATGAACAGGTGAAGGCTGGAGGCAGGAGTTGGGTGAGAGGCAGGTTTGGGCCAGACATAGAGATTCCTAGAGAGAACACTTGGATGGATATTTCTTGGCCTTCCAGCACAATTCTGTGGTCGCCTCCCACCAGGAATTCATATGACTATTCAACCCATACAACAAAGTGAAGTTGACATGGCCATGTTGGTTTCCCACAGGTCCCGCTGGATTAGTATGTGCCGAAACTTTGCGGCAAGAGGGCTTCTCAGATCGGATTGTGATGTGCACCATGGACAGACACTTGCCTTATGACAGACCCAAGCTAAGCAAGGTTTGTATGTCCAGAGGTGTTTTCTCCTTTCCTGTGGCTTTGACCAAAGCCCAGGCCCAGTGGGTGCCAAGTGAGTGCAACTCATTTGGCTGTCATTTACCACCCCAGAGTTCTAGTCTATGTGACATCCCTTCTTTCTGAAAACGCATTCGCTCCTAAATCATCTTTTCTTTTCAGTCAATGGATTCCCACACAGACCAGATTGCTTTGCGCCCCAAAGAATTCTTCCGGACCTATGACATCGAGGTCCTGACCGAAATGCAGGTAACCATTTGGTTTCCCATTAGGGTTTCCAATCTCAGATTCCCACCTGCCTCTTTCTGCTTTTTTGGGCCCCCTGAAAGCATGTCCCAGGGAGGTAGGAGGGGTCAAGGGCCAGACAGTCATCTTTGGGGGTCCTGTGTGGCCCCGCGTCTACACTGTACCCCTTGCTGATATCAACCTGTGCCAGGTTTTTACCCTCAAAGAGTTAATGGTCTGAAGGACTATATCTCCTGATTGAGGTCAAAGATATTTTCATTGATTGAGTTGATATTTGGTTGGGTCAGAAGGGCCTTTGAATAGGGTTGGTCATTCTTTGGCTTTTGAAAGGATGCCATAAAAAAATTCCCAGCATATTTTTGGAATAAGGTTTGGGCTGCAATTTCAGCTGCCTTGGATCTTCTTTTGGAAAGATCGCAAGATAGAACTGAAGTGAAGTGCGGTTGGGTCACACGTTGATCTCCTGTCTCACCGGCCCAGCTGGTTTGGCAGCATTTGGAGTCAAAAGGAGGAAACTTGGCAATCTTGTTTGTTTGTTTGTTTGTTTTTGTTTTGCCCCCCAAATAATTTTTATTAAACACTAGCTTTCCCTTGCCACGCGTTGCTGTGGCCCAGTCTGGTGATGTGGAAAATAAAGTAATGAGAAAGTGTTGGTTTCTAATATATGTAATTCCTTTATGCTTGTGAGTGAACAGTATTTCTTGTTGTTTCTTTGTCAGTGTTGATGTGGAGAGTGTCTGGTTTGCCTACTCTGGAATATGCCACATATCATAGTCCTTCTTTAAGGGTCTCTTTCAAATCTATGATACTATATCTGTGTGTGTGTGAGAATCATATCTATCTATCTATATTTATGACTGGATGGTTCTCTGTCAGGAGGGCTCTGATTACATTTTCTTGCCCTGGTGAAGAGAGTTGGACTGGATGGCCTTAAGTATTTTCTGTTGGTCATGGGGGTTCTGTGTGGGAAGTTTGCCCCATTTCTGTCGTTTGTGGGTTTCAGAATGCTCTTTAATTGTAGTGAACTATAAATCCCAGTAACTACAAATCCCAGATGTCAAGGTCTATTTCCTCCAAACTCCATCTGTGTTCAATTCCATCATTGATAGAGTTCAGAATGCTCTTTGATTGTAGGTGAACTATAAATCCCAGCAACTACAACTCCCAAATGTCAAGGTCTATTTCCCTTAAACTCCATCTGTGTTCATATTTGGGCATATGGAATATTCGTGCCAAGTTTGGTCCAGATCCATCATTGTTTGAGTCCACAGTGCTCTCTGGATGTGGGTGAACTATAATTCCCAAACTCAAGGTCAATGTCCACCAAAGCTTTCCAGTTTTTTCTTTTGGTCATGGGAGCCCTGTGTTCTAAGTTTGGCCCAATTCCAGTATTGGTGGAGTTCAGAATGCTCTTTGATTGTAGGTAAACTATAAATCCCAGCAACAACAATTCCCAAATGACAAAATCAATTTTTTTTGAGTGGAGGACATAAATTGGACTGTTAGGTGTCTTGTGTCCAAATTTGGTGTCAATTCCCCCAGTGGTTTTTGAGTTCTGATGGTAGCATGAACTAACATTACATTTTTATTTATATAGATTTCCTAGTGGGGGGGGGGGGGAGGAAAAAATAAAATTGGGGGATAATAGATTTGTTATTGCTTAGTTGCATTGTTACAAATGTCTAATATGTCACAAAGAGAAAACAAAGAGGATGGGGTTTGCTGGGGAACGTATGGGAGTTCTTTTACAAAGTTATCATTGTTACAACTAAGTCTTCATCTCTATTTCTTTCATAAAATATTGACGATTCTATCAATTTTAATTTTAAATCCATTGGTTGTATCTTCTTGTGTCATCTCACATTGTTTCCTGGTCTTCATCTATTTTTTCCCAGTTCTTCTTCAATGGAAATTGATCTTAATTTTTCATAACATATTGCTTCACATTCAATCTTTTCTTGAATTTATTATTATTATTATTATTATTATTATTATTATTATTACGATTATTATATATGAAGAAAATTTGACAATTTTCATTTAAATGGTTAGTAGGTTAGTATTTATATTGTTTTATCATTATCACACTTTCTCTCTTTTTGTATTAAATCAAATTTATATAATTCTATATAACCAATCCATTTTTATAGCCCATCTTAATCTTATTAGTTAATGTCGTTTTACAACATTTCTGAAATTTTGAATGGTTACTTAGCATAAAATCCAGGTATATATATACACACACACAATATTAATAGTAATAATATTTTCCATCCACAACTCTTGGGTTCTCATTTTCCTGGTGCATGTGTGTGTATACACACACACGCATATACACATACATACACTAGCTTGGGTACCCGGAATTGAAAAAGTTAGTTTTTTAATTGTACAAAATGCATAAAGTTGTGGGTGAACTACACCTCACATCATGCCAGGTTAGCCCCGAAAAACTCCATCAGTACTTCAGATTTCTCATTTTGGGAAAGTTTGCTCTAGATAAATTGGCGAGGTTCAGTGTGGTCTCTGGCTGTAGAGTAAACTACAACTCCCAATATGGTGAGTCAGTCCCCTCAAACCACTCCAGTAGGTTGAGTTAGTCTTGGGGGTTCTGTGTGCCAAGTTTGGTACAGGTTCATCATTGGTGGAGGTCACTGTTTCTCTGGTTGTGGGTGAACTACAACTCCCAGAAAGGAAGGTCAGTTCCCCCCAAACCCCTCCAGTAATCAAATTTTGGCATATCAGGTATTATGTGCCAAGTTTGGTCCAGATCCATCGGTGTTTGGGCTCAAAATGCTCTCTGGATGTTGGTGAACTACAACTTCCCCAAATCAAGGTGAATTTCCAAAGAACTCCAGTATTTTTTGCTGGTCATAGGGGATTTGTGTGCCAAGTTGGTAGAGTTCAGAGTTCTCTTAGATTGCAAGTGAACTGTACATCCCAGTACCTACAATTCTTATAAATCATGGCGAATTCTCCCCAAACCTCTCTAGTATGTTCAGTTGCTGATCAATTCCTCTGCTTGCTGTGTGCCATAGAAAAGAATAGGAAAGGGTTAAGGGGGAGGCAGTGGGTGGGATCATGCAAATTCCACACGAATGGAGAGAGAAAGAAACACTGGGATGTCTGTGGTGGAGGAAACACATGAAATCTAAGATGAAATTGTCCCCGTATGAAAGCCTTCACTTGAGTGGTGGGCAGTATGGCGCTTGTGAAGGACATTGGCAGGGCTCTTGTACATGTTGATGGCGCTTACTGTAACCTGCAATGTCATTGGACGGAGGGCCATTGGTGTCTCCTGAGTAGTGGGAGCTATAGCTGTTTGTTGAGGAAGGAGCATGTCTGGGAGAGTGGACATCTCAGTCACCCACACACACACACACATTTTCACTTTTATGATATGTGTGTGTATTTGATTAAAAGCCCATTTTCCATTCCTCTAATATCGGAGCCCAGTTTAATTAATTTAATTTAATTTAATAAATTAATTTATTAAATTTGATCATTTCAAGAACTCTTCTCATTTAACCATAATAATTACTCAGTTTAGTTAATGTTGTTTCACAAAATTTCCAAAATTTTGGGTAGGTGATTAGTGCAAAATACAAGCATGTATATACAATATTAATAATAGAATCATAGAATCATAGAGTTGGAAGAGAACTTGTGGGCCATCCAGTCCAACCCCTTGCAGAGAAGCATTAAAATCTCATTCAAAGCACCCTTGACATAATAATTTGTATTTTTTTCCATCCACAACTTTTGGGGTTCAAAAACTCTCTGATTTAACCATAATCGCTCAGTATGACCATATTCTTATAGGCCATTTTTAAAAACTTCCCCAGATTGCTCCGGAAGACCAGATCTCTCAAATGTCTCTTTCTCGAGGTTTTGTTCCCAGGATCTTGTCTAAAGGAGACCTGCATCCGATCCGCTGCTTTTCCCCAGAAGTAGTTTTTTGTGGGTCCACATGCATGGCTCTTTATGGGGTATTTACTTGGTGGCACCAAACCCCATTTGGAGGAGGACCTCTTCCTAAAGCCTGCTATTCAGGACAGGATTACTCTCGGGAGACGCCCTGACCTGCATGTTCTTTATGTATGTGGATATCCTTTTTGGGAGGCACTGAAAGGGTTGGCATTCCCTCCTTCCATATTGTTTCAGGTGGTGGCTGTTGACATCAAGAACAAGACGGCGGTCTTCAAGGACGGGTTCAAGATGGAGTATAACAAGCTGCTCCTTGCAACCGGGAACACGTAAGGGACCAGAAAGGATTTAAGCTGAAGAAGGGAGAGCGAGGAAAGGTCTGCTGGTGATGCCTGGCAAACATGGAACTTCGTGGGTTGTTGTAGGTTTTTTCGGGCTATATGGCCATGGTCTAGAGGCATTCTCTCCTGACGTTTTGCCTGCATCTATGGCAAGCATCCTCAGAGGTTGTGAGGTCTGTTGGAACTAGGAAAAAGGGTTTATATATCTGTGGAATGACCAGGGTGGGACAAAGGACTCTTGTCTGCTGGAGCTAGGTGTGAATGTTTCAACTGACCACCTTGATTAGCATATAATGGCCTGACAGTGCCTGGAGCAAACTTTTGTTGAGAGGTGATTGTTTCCTCTCTGTTGTTTTGCTTTTGTAATTTTAGAGTTTTTTTTAATACTGGTAGCCAGATTTTGTGCATTTTCATGGTCTCCTCCTTTCTGTTGAAATTGTCCACATGTTTGTGGATTTCAATGGCTTCTCTGTGTAGTCTGACATGGTGGTTGTTGGAGTGGTCCAGCATTTCTGTGTTCTCAAATAAAATGCTGTGTCCAGGTTGGTTCATCAGGTGCTCTGGCTACCAGTATTAATCTGGCTACCAGTATTAAAAAACTCTAAAATTACAACAGCACAACAACAGAGAGGAAACAATCACCTCTCAACAAAAGTTTGCTCCAGGCACTGTCAGGCCATTATATGCTAATCAAGGTGGTCAGTTGAAACATTCACACCTAGCTCCAGCAGACAAGAGTCCTTTGTCCCACCCTGGTCATTCCACAGATATATAAACCCTTTTTCCTAGTTCCAACAGACCTCACTACCTCTGAGGATGCTTGCCATAGATGCAGGCGAAACGTCAGGAGAGAATGCCTCTAGACCATGGCCATATAGCCCGAAAAAATCTACAACAACCCAGTGATTCCGGCCATGAAAGCCTTCGACAATACAAAAATATGTGTTGTTGAAAGCTTTCATGGCCAAAATCACTAGGTTGTTGTAAGTTTTTCGGGCCGTATGGCCATGTTCGAGAAGCATTCTCTCCTGATGTTTTGCCTGCATCTATGGCAGGCATCCTCAGAGGTTGTGAGGTCTGTTGGAAACTAGGAAAATGAGGTTTATATATCTGTGGAATGACCAGGGTGGGAGAAAGAACTCTGGTCTGTTGGAGGTAGGTGAGAATGTAGCAATTGGCCACCTTGATTAGCGGGCTTCACAGAGAAGCCATTGAAATCCACAAGTATGTGGACAATTTCAACGGAAAGGAAGAAACCATGAAAATGAACAAAATCTGGCTACAAGTATTAAAAAACTAAAATCATAACAGGAAATAAAGAACAACACTCAAAAACAAGAAACAATCAGGGACAGCTAATTACCTGTCAACAAAGGATTCCCCCAGGCAGTAAGAAGCCACACCTTGAAACTGCTAGGCCATTAAAAGCTAATCAAGGTGACCAATTGAAACACTCACACCTACCTCCAACAGACAAGAGTTTTTTCTCCCACCCTGGACATTCTGCATACATATAAATCCCATTTTCCTAGTTTCGAACAGACCTCACAACCTCTGAGTATGCCTGCCATAGATGCAGGTGAAACGTCAGGAGAGAATGCTTCTGGAACATGGTCATACAGCCTGAAAAACTTAAAAAAACCCATGGATCTTTGTGCCCTGAAACCTGTTTTCTCTGTAAAACAGAGAGACATTTTCAGTGTCCATTTTTTACATAGAAGGCAGTCCCCAAATGGCAGTGATTCTCAACCAGCTGGGATTCCCCTCCTCAGGGTTTCCCAGCATTCCAGAAACCTGTTTTTCAGCCGTTTCTGAAATATTTGCGAACCTTCTTTCCACCCGTACTAGCAAAGAAAGGCATGGCAAGCTTGCAAAGTCAAAGGCTCACGAAGAGTTGTTTTCAGCTCTCACTTTCCTCTGCATTTGTGTCTTTTCAGGCCTAAAACCCTCAGCTGTAAAGGCAAGGAAGTGGAGAATGTGTTTACCATCCGGACCGTGGAAGATGCCAACCGGGTAGTCAAGCTGGCCACCAGCAAGAACGCCGTAGTTGTCGGAGCCTCGTTCCTAGGTGGGCCTTTGGGTTTTAGAGGGAAAGGGACCAAATTGACCAACCAGCATTTCAATCAATGGAAAGGAATGCTGTGATCACTAAAGACAACACAGATGGCTCAAAAACAAGCCATGCCAGACTCATCTTCTCTCTTTTTTTGATAGAGTTGCAAGCTTAGTATTATTATTATTTGAGGTATTTATATACCGCCCTTCTCGACCCTGAAGGGGACTCAGGGCAGTTCACAGTGTTGGTAACAATTCAGTGCCATCGATAAAAAACAGTATAAGGTAAAGGTAAACGTTTTCCCCTGACATTAAGTCCAGTTGTGTCTGACTCTGGAGGTTGGTGCTCATCTCCATTTCTAAGCCGAAGAGCCGGTGTTGTCCATAGACATCTCCAAGGTCATGTGGCCAGCATGACTGCATGGAGCGCTGTTACCTTCCCGCTGGAGTGGTACCTATTGATCCACTCACATTTTTTTGCATACTTTTGAACTGCTAGGTTGGCAGGAGCTGGGACTAACAATGGGAGCTCACGTTTCTCCCTGGATTCGAACCTGTGACCTTTTGGTTAGCAAGTTCAGCAGCGGTCTAACCCATTGCACCACCAGGGGCTCCATTTTTAAAAAAACCACACAGTATAAAACATCAAATCGACCCTCCCCTAATTAAACAGTATTAAACACATCACATAAAATAATATCACATATCACACAAAGACATAGTTGTTGTCCATAAACAGTCCTGGATCGTGGACTGGTAGATGCAGGTAATGCTGTGGTTGGAGCATATCTTGATTTCAGCAAGGCCTTCGACAAAGTCCCCCATGGCCTTCTTGGAAACTTTTAAACAGTGGCTGGATGGCCACCTATCGGGGGTGCTTTGATTGTGTTTTCCCTGCATGGCAGGTCGTTGGAATAGATCGCCTATCTGGTCTCTTTAAACTCTGTTATTCTATTATTTCCTCTGAACCCCTAAGATTCATGTTGGGACCATAAGTCCCATGTAGAATCCCATCTTGGGAGACAGGTGGGATTGACGTTCAATCAATAAATAGACATTAAGAAATAAATGACAGCCATCAACTGGGGGAAGGCTCAACCTGTGAGCCGGTTTGGCACTAGCTCCATCCAGCTCCATGTTCTGATCTTCTTGGGACATCCTCAAGGTTCTTCAACTCCGTCATGGATGGTTCTGTTTTCCAGGCATGGAAGTGGCAGCCTATCTCTCCGAACGAGCCCACTCCGTCTCGGTGGTGGAGCTGGAAGAGGTGCCTTTCAAGAAGTTCTTTGGAGAGAAGGTTGGCAGGGCCCTCATGAAGGTAAGAGCACTAAAGGACAGGGGATGGACTGAGAATACCTTTGGAGTGATGCTCTGAATGTTCTCCATGAGTCGGATCTGATCAAAATAATCCCCAACCCTCTTCCTCCACTTTTGGGCAGATGTTTGAGAACAACCGAGTGAAATTTTACATGCAGACCGAAGTGTCAGAACTGCGGGAACAGGAGGGCAAGGTAAAGCCTTCACAACCATTGCAAGGACAAGGCATTGCAGGGCTTGCATCTTGGGAAGCAGGTGGACATTTTTGTCAAACATGGAACAGCTCACGGTTGGGGAATTCTCCATGTGGCACCATTGTGAAATCGCACCTTTGGGGGTCTTGGGTCAGTTGCACAATGGTGCCATTCAACCCAAGGGTTGACTTGCACCTTCAGTGCGTAACTTCATATGGAGGCTGACGTTGGATCTTGGACCTTGAATTGTAGAAAGGCTGCCTGGGTCCAAGCCTCTCCTTTTCTTGTCTCTCTTAAAGCTAAAGGAGGTGGTGCTGAAGAGCGGCAAAGTTCTCCGGGCTGATGTCTGTGTCATAGGCATAGGTAAGTGCTTGGGTTACCGGGAAAGGCGCTTACTGGCAAAAAAATTAGATAAAAATGCATTCAAAAACTAAGATGAGGAACCTCTTTCATCCCAAGAACTATGTTGTTTGAGAGATGTTCCCAAGAGATGCCATCCAGGGATGGATGGATGGAGTCAAAGGCAAAGGGGGGTGAGCCCCAAACACCAATATATATTAGCCATGAGCTCTTAGTGCCAGTGGCTAGAATTGGGGCTGCTAAATACCTGGGAGGCACCAGATCTTGTCTGATCTTGGAAGCTAAGTAGGGCCAGGGGTGGAGGGCAGGATTGTCTAGAGAGTGCCCCACCAAGGATGACATCTCCTTGACTATTGGGAAGGTGCGACCCCGGCGACTGGCTTCTTGAAGCAGAGCGGCATCCATGTGGACTCGAAAGGTTTCATTGCGGTGAATAAGGTGAGCCTCCCAAAGGTTTGACTTTTCCCTTCCCATTGCAAGATGGTTGGTTGGACCAGCGTTTCCTGCTGACACTTCCAACCCCTTTCTTCCCAGATGATGCAGACCAGCATCCCGGGTGTTTTCGCAGCCGGAGATGCTGTTGCGTTCCCGCTGTCGCTACGGAATAACAAGAAGGTGAACATCCCTCATTGGCAGATGGCGCACATGCATGGTAGGTACCACCTTTAGGAAAGATGGGGTGTGAACTGAAGTAACAACATATCCGCTTGCTGGCTGCTGGTGCAAACAGAAAGTTGGACCCAGTTAGCAATACTGTGCATCTCTGAGCGCATTAACAAGAAATCTGACTTGGGTCATTCATGCCGTTATTCCTCCACACCTTTCCAGGACGCATAGCGGCACTAAACATGTTGGCGCATGGGACTGAAATCAGCACCGTCCCTTACCTGTGGACAGCGATGTTTGGGAAGAGCATCCGCTATGCAGGTAAGGCCGGGTGGGGAAAAGTACGACCCGTGGGCCATATATGGCCTACCTCTTTTTGTGGCTCCAAATTAGATTGTATCCGTATACTGGCATGGCAAGGTTTCCCTATCTATGTTTCCCCCTCTTTTTCCCCCAGGTCATGGAGAAGGGTTCGATGACGTGATCATTCGGGGAGACTTGGATGAACTGAAGTTTGTAGCCTTTTACACCAAGTGAGTGCCTCGAGACATATGGTCCTGACATTGAATGTCACACCTGAAGCACCAACCATAGAAAAAGGGAACATACCTTTAATGAATGGGGTTGTTCCCCGAAGGAGCTGAAATAAGATAACTACGCCTTCACACTTTGGGAGATAGGATTATTATTATTTTCATGTCAGAAGCAACTTGAGAAACTGCAAGTCGCTTCTGGTGTGAGAGAATTGGCCGTCTGCAAGGATGTTGCCAGGGGATGCTCAGATGTTTTGATGTTTTACCATCCTTGTGGGAGGCTTCTCTCATGTCCCTGCATGGGGAGCTGGAGCTGACAGAGGGAGCTCACCCGCACTCATCCCAGATTTGAACTTTCCAACCTGTCGGTCTTCAGTCCTGCCGGCACAAGGATTTAACCCATTGCACCACCAGGGGCTCCTGGGAGATAGGATGAGAAACATTTCCTCTGGTCTACTTGCTTTGAGATGGAAAGTAGATGCCTAGCAGAGTGGGGGTGAGCCCTGGTGCAGTGATTTGGGAGAAAAAAGGAATGCTAACTAAAGCCACGAAGAGAGTCTCTGCAAGTCACAGCAACAAATGAATTTTTTTTGTGTGTCAGGAGTGACTTGAGAAACTGCAAGTTGCTTTTGGTGTGAGAGAATTGGCTGTCTGCAAGGACGTTGCCCAGGGGACACACAGATGTTTGATGTTTTATCATCCTTGTGGGAGGCTTCTCTCATGTCCCTGCATGGGGAGCTGGAGCTGACAGAGGGAGCTCACCCGTGCTCTCCCCAGATATGAACCTCCGACCTGTCAGTCTTCAGTCCTGCCGGCACAAGGGTTTAACCCATTGTGCTATGGGGGGGCTCCTGAACAAATGAATGAGTGCTTGCCAATTGGAGCAAGATGGTGATGGGTATGCAGCTCTTTCCTTCTGCCCCGAAACTGGAGGATTTGCCCTTTCATCTCCCTCTGATCCTCCAAAATGGAAGACTCTGGGTCTGATATCTCCTGGCATGTTAACGTAGTAGTACATTTGATTGATTAGCCCATCGGTTGTATCACAACCTGGCATGTTAAAGTTTTAAAGAATGTCAATATTGGGTCGTAAGAGTCGGGGTGACCTTGGAGGGCAAAGCGCCTGAACTGTGTGTTGTTCTGCCATCTAGGAGGGTCCCCAAGCGATGGTCATTGTACAATCAGGTGACCCCCTGCGTAGAATCCTGGAGGTAACTTTGAACCGTCCTGCCCACTGACAGCTCCTTGGGGTGCTTGGCTTGGAAATGGGGACATTTGGGACACTGTTCCAAGAGCGTCGCTATTGCAGGGGCAAAAAAAGAGGCTGTGCCAAGAAAAGTCCTGCCCCTCCCATGAAATTTTCCTTTGCTCCCAAGAGTCTAGCACAGGCATGGGCAAACTTTGGCCCTCCCTCCAGGTGTTGTGGATTTCAACTCCCGCAATTCCGAACTGCCTCAGGCCCCTTCCTTTTCTGCTTAAGCAGCTGAGGAGGAAAAGGAAAGGACCTGAGGCTGTTCGGATTGGTGGGAGTTGAAGTCCAAAACACCTGGAGGGCTGAAGTTTGCCCATGCCTGTGCTAGCATTTGAATGCCAGAACGCCCTTGCCTTGACCTCATCTATTTGCTGCCCCTTTGCAGGAAGAGCCCCTTACTCACCCAGTTGGGTTTCCGAGGTTTTCGTTACATCTCTCGGCCTTCCACTACCATGCCATGGTATCCTTGAGCTGGAAGTTGAAAACGTCAAGTTCAGCACTATCCGCTGGATCAGGGGCTCTCCCTTTACTTCTCAATGCTGCAGTTCAAAGTGACTGCAAACTTAGGAATGTTAGAAATCAGGGCCAGTTAACACCTCCCAACAAAGGATTCCCCCAGGCAGGAAGCAGCCAGGTTTAGAAGCTGCAAGGCCATTCAGTGCTAATCAAGGAGGCCAATTGCAACATTCACACTTGCCTCCAACAGGCAAGAGTTCTTTCTCCCATCCTGGACATCATTCCACAGGTATATAAACCCCACTTGTCTAGTCTCCAACAGACCTCACTATCTCTTAGGATGCCTGCCATAGATGTGGGCGAAATGTCAGGAGAGAATGCTTCTGGAACATGGCCATACGGCCCGGAAAACTCACAGCCACCCAATTTAGGAATGTGTGGAACAAAGGTCAATTTCATGGGGAGATTGAGTTCACATTGAGGGGGGCCATGCCCTCATTTTGCCTTCCTCTGTAGCTACGCCCTCGGATGCCAGTTTTTCACTCCTTCTCCCCAGTGGTGATGGGACCACCTTTGTGTATTTTGCTATATCTCTTTTGCTGAATTGTAGGTGACTACTATCTGTTGTCTATCTTTTATTGGACCCATTGGGAAATGGTGACTCCCCCATGACTTTTGTAGGACTCGGCAGTGGTCGTTTTGCCAGTTCTTTCCTCTGATATAGCACCATTCAATTCCTATCCAGGACTGACCCTGCTTAGCTTCCAAGTTCAGGCAGGGTCTGGCGCCTTAACCTACATGGGCTACTTATTTTCATAGGCCTAACTCAATAAGGTTTCTGGGCCTGACACCCCAAGTCCACCGTAAGAGCCAGCAGCGTCATCAGAAAAGAAAGGCTTTCAGGGCACAGCGGGATGTTTCCAGACCCCTCCAGGTTGAAATTGTGATGGAGTCCTTGCATTGGATTGTTCCAGCCTTGTTGCCAGGGAGAAGGGGCTGCAAAAATCTGACTGGCATCTAAATGGGCTTTCCTCACCCAATGCAGCTGCTGGCTCTTATGCTGGGTTTAGGGTATGTTTATGGCCTCCCTTCACCATCAACTCACAAACTCTCTGATCTTTTCCTTTAGGAATGATGAAGTGGTCGCTGTGGCCAGTATGAACTATGACCCTCTAGTCTCCAAAGTCGCGGACGTCATGGGCGCCGGGAGAACCATCCGGAAACGAGATGTGGAGTAAGTCAATGATCTGGGACGAAATTGGTATCTTCTGCATTTGCGGAAATGGGTTCATTGGCTGCACTGTATGTACTCGGAGCACACATTTCTCGTCGTTTCCCCCCTGGCTTCCTCTCTCACCCTTTTTCTCTTTCTCCTTTCCCTGCGGCACACTAAGGCTCTTCATCCGCTATGGCAAGTACGTATGCTTTGGTCCGTATTTTGGGTGGTTGTTGATGTGAAATTCCTTCCCCCTTTCACTTTGATTGAGAAAAAAAAGAGGAACGTGTCTCTGTTGTAGTAGATCAGGATGAACAAAATGAGAGCCCTGGGCAACTTGTGCCTTCCAAGTTTGTTTTCACGGCCTTCCATTCTTACAAATTTTCCTTTTTGGGTCTCTGATCTTTGATGGAAGAGGGCTGAAGCCTTCGTATAAGCACTTTCTTGTTTGTTTTGTTTTTTCTGGCAGAACCGGAGACATGTCTTGGCTAACGGGAAAAGGATCCTAACAGCCCCAGAAGCAAGGGCCCAGTTTTCCAAGGGCTTGGCCATCACTCAAAGATGGAGGATCCCTCCACAACTGTGACTTTGAGGAATCAGGCGCTTCCCTCCGCTCTTTCCCTGAGCCGGGTTCTTTTTCTTCTCTTGCCATCCCGAATCTCCCACGCTTGGGAACATCCACATTGGAGATCCACCTGCACTTTAAGAAACCCCAAAGACCAGGCAGAAAGTGGGGGGGGGGGTGTTGGGTCTGTCTTTGGGGGTCTCACTGGATATGTACTTGTGGGAGGCAAAAAGGAGCGTAATGCCCCCCACAAGAGAAGAATTCTGCCCCCTTCAAGAGCTGAGGCCCTAGTGCCCTGTTCTGCATTTCATTGCCCTATCCCCCTTTGTCTTCGCCTCCCCACATCCAGCCTCTCCCAGGCATCTTGGGCCACAGTCTCCATCATCTGCAGTTGACAGAGACGATGGGAGATGTAGTAGCCCAGACTGAAGAAGACTGCTTTCCCGTGTCGGTTGAAACCCTCAGCTGACTTTGCCACATGCGTCATGAACCATCTCTTTTTCTAGGTTCTTAATAAACTAATACCATGCCGCTTTGGTTTCACTTGCCGTGGTGTCTTTTGAGGCCTCTGGTTGGGATGGGACTAGTGTATCGGGGTTCCTTTTGGCTAGGATTTGAGAATCTCTCCAAGGTGCTGAATCTATTTCAAGGAGAGAGTTGTCCACCTTGGAGAGCTTCGTTGAAGCCTAGATTAAAAATGCCTCCAAGAGGAATCTCCTTTTCTGGAGTTTTTAAAGCAGCAGCTGGATGGCCATCTGTTGGGAGGGATTGGATGTGGTCTCCCTACATGGCAGAAGGGCGGAGGGAGGTTGGATTGGATGGCTGCTGGGGTATGTTCCAACTCTAGGATTCTGGGATCTCATGCCTCCAATCACACAGCAGGATATTGGCCTTAATCTCTGGTCGGTCAGTGACAGCTGGGCTGCCTGGCCTCCTTAATGCCATTAGCAGAGCGCCTCCCTTGCACCGCCTGACCCAGATCAGGAGCTAGAGGCTGTTGATCAAGGCTGGTCTCACCTTTGGGGAGGCATGGCACTCCAGACACCCCTTCCTTCCAACCTCCGCCGAGGCCTGACCACCTTCAGCGGCTCCCTCTTTGTCAACAACAAGACTGGTGATGCTGGGGCAGCCCAGGTCTACTACCCAGGTAGGAGATGGCATGGGCAGGGAACCCTTTTTGGCCAGATCATCAGGTTCCCACCCTTCCTGGCCACTGTTTGTATCTTTCCTAGGCCACGCCGTGCTATCCAGCTTGCCCTTGCAAATGATGCTCTACTTCAATGCTTTCTATTTCCCGTTCTGGTGTGTCTCAGAAGGGATCATGCTCGAACTCAAGGTACTGGCCTTGGTGATGCTTGAGAGGGAGGTTAATGCCCTAAAAGGGCATTGGTGGGTTCAGAGCTGGGCCCTGTGCAGAGACAGAGGTGTCAAATCTTTGACTGCAGCAGCTAGTCTTAGGCAGTGCCAGATTTACCATTATGCTTAAGCACAAGGCCCTGTTGGTCAGGAGGGCCCATCTTCCTGCTAAACAAACAAACAAACAAACAAACAAACAAACTAACTAACTAACTAACTAACCAATGGATTTGCTTATGTGGTGCAATTCTAAATGTGAAGACATTCTGTTTCAGAGTGATTTCAGACATAATGATAGAGTTGATAGTCTATGGGAGTGTGCCCCAAAGCAGGCAATGTAAGCATACTGGGCTGACCTCCTTCAGGGACTAAGGAAGGAAGGAGCCACATAACTGAACTAGCATAGGGCCTCATTGGTCCTAAACCCAGTATTGTTTTTTTTCCATGCCAGGAGCGACTTGAGAAACTGAAAGTCGCTTCTGGTGTGAGAGAATTAGCTGTCTGCAAGGACCTTGCCCATGGGATGCCTGGATGTTTTGATGTTTTACCATCCTTGTGGGAGGCTTCTCTCATGTCCCCGCATGGGGAACTGGAGCTGACAGAGGGAGCTCACCCACGCTCACCTCGGATTTGAACTTTCCAACCTGTCGGTCTTCAGTCCTGCCAGCACAAGGGTTTAACCCAGCACTGGTCTTAGGACTGTATTCCATATGGATGACAACACATTTGAGGATACTGTTCAACTACCACCGGCTTCCTGCTCAAGGGCTCCTTTTACTCCATCCCTCCAGTTCAGCTTGCTGCCGGCATACAACCAGTTTCTGCTTCTATCCGCATACCTGACACTCACCCTTGCAGAAGTCTTGCGCCTCTACCTGGGATACATTGGGAATTTGCAAGAAAAGGTAAGGGCTGAGGGGACAGTGGCAGCTTACTAGGGAACATCGATACTGAGTTCCCACGGGGAGAAAAGCGTATAAATAAAGTAAATAAATACAATCAATAAATTGTAAACCAGTGCTGTTTGGTATCACTTGAACCAGAGGATACAGGATTTTTAGCTTGATGAGGAACCTGCATTCTTGGGCAGAGACAACTATAGGCCTTGTGAGACCCCAGCTCCTAGGATCCCATAGCATTGAGTCATGGCACTTCAAGTGGTGTCAAACACATTTATTTAACAGTTTCCTGCAACCTAACTCAACCTAAGACTAACCGCTGATCACTGAGATTCAAACCTGGATGGAAGATACCGAGTTTCCCTTGGCACGAGCCAGGCTGGCCTGTAGACCTCTGGCCTGTTTGGGCATCCATGCAAAAGAATACCCATGTACCAATGTGCTCCCTGCCTTGTCTCCCACAGGTCCCTGAACTGGCTGGCTTCCTCCTCCTATCCTTTATGATCGAGGTACCCACCGTGCTGTTCATCCTGGCGGACATGTACACCCTGCGACTACCACTGGAGACAGCGGTGAACCTGCTCCTGCTCCTCTTCCTCGTCTCTGAAATCGCCGCTGCCTTCCAGGCCCTCAAACACATGAGCAAGCAGCTGGCCATGCAGTTCTACCTCAAGCAGTTTGAAGAAGGAGTGGGCCAAACCACTGGCGATGGGCACAAGGGGCAGTGGGCTCGAGGCACCTGATGCCGGCCAGCCCTGAACCCACCTCACTGTAACAATAATAGATCTGTATTGTCAAAGGCTTTCATGGCTGGAATCACTGGATTGGTGTAGGTTTTTTGGGCTGTGTGACCATGTTCTAGAAGCATTCTCTCCTGACGTTTCACCTGCATCTATGGCAGGCATCCTCAGAGGTTGTGAGGTCTGTTGGAAACTAGGAAAATTGGGTTTATATATCTGTGGAAAGTCCAGGGTGTGAGAAAAAACTCTTGTCTGTTAGAGCTAGGTGTGAATGTTTCAGTTGGCCACCTTGATGGTTTCTTCCTTGATGGTTTCTTCCTTTACGTTCCTTGATTCATGTTTGGGCGCTGCATTTGGTGGCCCCTATGTAGACTTGTCCACAGCTGCATGGTATACAGCAGACAAAAATAATCTGTAAACCCCACCTCCTTCAAGACTAACTGAACCACCTAAACTGGGCTTTACAGGCCAATGGAGACTCCACCTCAGACATCAGAAGAGCTGCAAGACCGAGAACAAGCCACGTGAGTAAGGACAAAGATCCACCCAGAGGAAAAGTGTTTTTGCCATACATCAAGGGAACCACTAAGTGCATAGGGAAACTGATGAGCAAAGACAACCTACAAACTATCTACAGACCCACCAAGAAAATCTAACAAATGCTACATTAAGCAAAGGACAAAAGGGATCCTCTCACCTCTTCGGGAGTCTACCATATACCATGCAGCTGTGGGAAAGTCAACAGAGGGACCACCAAGCGCAGCATTGCCTAAACACGAATCAAGGAACATGAAAGGCACTGCAGACTAATTCAGCCAGAGAAGTCAGCCATAGCAGAGCACCTGATGAACCAATCTGGATACAACAAATTATGTGAGAACACAAAAATGATGGCCCACTCCAACAACTACCATGTCAGGCTACACGGAGAAGCCGTTGAAATCCACAAGCATGTGAACAATTTCAACGGAAAGGAAGAAACCATGAAAATGAACAAAATCTTGCTGACAATATTAAAAAACTCCAAAATCATAAGAGTAAATGAAGAACAATACTCAAAAACAAGGGAACTCCAGACAGGAAACAATCAGAGACAGTTATTCATCTCTTAACAAAGGATTCCCCCAGGCAGTAAGAAGCTACACCTTGAAACTGCTAGGCCATTTAATGCTAATCAAGGTGGCCAACTGAAACATTCACACCTAGCTCCAACAGACAAGAGTTCTTTCTCCCACCCTGGACTTTCCAGATATACAAACCCCATTTTCCTAGTTTCCAACAGATCTCACAACCTCAGAGGATGCCTGCCATAGATGTAGGTGAAATGTCAGGAGAGAATGCTTCTAGAACATGGCTATACAGCTTGAAAAACCTAAAACAACCCACTAATGGATCTTTTGCCTTCTCCCAAAAAAGAGCAGCCGTAACGGGTTTGGGCCATTGCCATCCAAAGGAATGACCCGAGCCTCTCCACAAAGGCCATTAAGAAGTCAGCTGAATCAGGTGACATAAAACCATTCCTTCTGAATCAACAAAAGTTAACGGCAATGGAAAGAAGGCCGGAATATGACATGCCAAAGTGACTAGAATCCCATTAGTTCTCTGCTCTCCATCAAGATGTCACTTAGGGTTTCTTGTTAGATAAAGTGTTTTTTTTTTTATGTCAGGAGCAACTTGGGAAACTTCAAGTTGCTTCTGGTGTGAGAGAATTGGCCATCTGCAAGGATGATGCCCAGGGGATGCCTGGCTGTTTTGATGTTTTACCATCCTTGTGGGAGACTTCTTTCATGTCCCCGCAAGTGTAGCTGAAGCTGACAGAGAGAGCTCATCCGCACTCTCCCCGGATTCGAATCTCCAACCTGTTGTTCTTCAGTCCTGCCGGTACAAGGGTTTAAAGCACTGCGCCACCGGTGGCTCCTTGGAAAAGTGGATAATAATAATAATAATAATAATAATAATAATAATAATAATAGTCTTTTTTCTGACCAAAGAAAGAGGAGAAGCTTCTAAGATTTTATACCATGGTTTGATATGATACTTTATTATTATTTTTTCATCTTTGGGTTTTTAGCTGTACCTTACTATAATCTTGTTGGAAGCCACCTTGGGAGATAGCGAGTGCCTCAATAAAGAACAGTGAAATAAAATACAGTTTGGAGAAGTCCTTGGTGGGATCTGGAGAGCAAATAAGCCTCCGGATCTGTCCCTTGCAAAAGTGAGTGCTTGACTATAGGATACAATGTCAGTTTGGTGGTCCACTTGCCCCAATACTTCCTACTTTGAATGGTAGGAGCTCTCTTTGGTTTCCAACAAAGAGAGGTGGCAACAGAAGTCATAGCAAAAGGCCAAGTAGATATCCATATCTCGGCTTTCAGGAAGGTCCAGTCTAGCCCAAACTTTGCAAGCGGAGATCTCACTGTCTCAATTGTCCATGGGAAGTTTCAGCCTTTCCTTCGAAGGTTGGTGATGCTACGAAGCTGCCTTGCCATTTTTGTCTTTTGGTGGTTTTGCCTGCAAAACACAAGCACCAATTTATTATTCCCTATCACCCCTCAGTTTTTTTTAGAGACACTTTGCCCAGAAGGGAACCCAGAGAAATATGGCTCCAAATGGGAACTTTGTCCCATGAAGTTTTCCTTCAGTTCCCAAATTTCTACAGTTGCAAAGAACGAGACATTACAAATGGCCACATGCTGCACTCGCCTTCCCTAGCCCTCTTCTCTTTGGGCACCAACATCCTGCTACTGAATGGCTGCAATGCCTAGAAATGTGAGGATTGGAGGAACAGTCGTTTGGGGCATCTCAAAAGTATGACATTGGAACACTGAAGAAAAATGTCCTTTGGGGAATCGTCAAAATAGGATCCTTTGGTTCAGAGGAGTGGATCTACTTAGGTTGGGATCAAGGACTGGATATGGGCGGGAATGCTGTTGGACTACAATTCCCAGCACTCCTGGCCAGCAGAGCCTAGGAAAAGGAAGATGGGGAGGTGGTTGCTTTGGAAAATGGGAGGATGTCAAGGGTTTTTGCAGTGGCAAAAAAAGCCAATGGGATTTTGGGCTGCATAAATAGAGGTCTAGTGTCTAGATCAGTGTTCCTCAACCTGGGGGTCGGGACCCCCAGAGGGGTCGTGAAGAGGTATCAGAGGGGTCACCAAAGATTTTCTTTTCTGTTAGTCAACACCATTTTCTGTTAGTCATGGGGGTTCTGTGTGGGAGGTTTGTCCCAATTCTCTCATTGGTGATGTTCAGAATACTCTTTGATTTAAGTGAATTATAAATCCCTGCAACTACAACTCCCAAATGTCAAGGTCTACTTTTCCCAAACGCCACCAGTGTTCACAATCGGGCATATTGAGTATCTGTGCCAAATTTGGTTCAGATCCATCATTGTTTGCGCTCTCTGGATGTAGGTGAACTACAACTCCCAAACTCAAGGTCTATACCCACCAAATCTTTCCAGTATTTTCTGTTGGTCATAGGAGTTCTGTGTGCCAAGTTTAATTCCGTCATTGGTGGAGTTCAGCATGCTCTTTGATTGTAGGTGAACTATAAATCCCAGTGACTACAACTCTCAAATGACAAAATCAATCAATCCCCCCCCTAAACCCACCAGTATTCAAATGTGGGCGTATCAGGTATTTGTGCCAAATTTGGTCCAGTGAATGAAAATACATCCTGCATATCAGATATTTACATTATGATTCATAACAGTAGCAACATTACAGTTACGAAGTAGCAACAAAAATAATTTTATGGTTGGGGGTCACTGCAACATGAGGGGTCACGGCATTAGGAAGGTTGAGAAACACTGGTGTAAATCCAGGGAAGTCATGCTACCCCTCTATTCTCCCTTGGTCAGACCGCATCTGGAATACTATGTTTGAAGGGCGATGTGTCCAGAGGAGGACGATTCAAAGGATCAAGGGTCTGCAGAACAAGCCCAATGAGGAGCGGCTGAATGAGCTGGGCATGTTCAACATGCAGAAGAGAAGGCCAAGAGGAGACATGATGGTCATGTATAAATATGTGAGGGAAAGTAATAGGGAGGAGGGAGCAAGCTTGTTTTCTGCTGCCCTAGAGACTAGGACACAAAACAATGGCTTCAAACTACAGGAAAGGAGATTCTACTTGAACATTAGGAAGAACTTCCTAATGGTGAGAGCTGTTCAGCAGTGGAACTCTCTGCCCTGGAGTGTGGTGGAGGCTCTTTCTTTGGAGGCTTTTAAGCAGAGGCTGGATGGCCATCTGTGGTGGGAGGGGGGCTTTGGATGCAATTTTCCTGCTTCTTGGCAGGGGGATGGACTGGATGGCCCGTGAGGTCTCTTCCAACTCTATGATTCTAAGTGTCCTTTTTTACCTCTTCATACTTCTCGCTTCGATAGAAGTCGGCTTTGGCGTCAAGGTACAAGAGCACCAGATCACAGATGACAGTGGCCTAGGATAGAAAAAGGCAGCATTTGGCACTCAAAAAACAGCCTCTCCCTGCCATGTTTAAAGAAAGGACAAGGCCAACACTGAAGGCCAGGTGGAGCTTCAAATTGTTCATTTGGTGCATTTCTGTTGGCCAACAAAGGCATGACCCCTTGGTGGGTTTTACACTGGGTTCAATTTTTACACATCTCCAACATCGCTGTGCTCCTGAATGAACAGCTTGCTTTGCCCTTCCACCTGGCCATACTCACAGTCCCGAGGAATGCTGCTCCGGTGCCCAGGTTGACAACAGTGGGGATGATACTGAACTTCCCAGCCTAGAAATACAGAAAGGGAATTGCTTAGAACAGTGTTTCTCAACCTGGGGGTCAGGCCCCCGGGGGGTGGGGGGGTCGCAAGGGGGTTTCAGAGGGGTTGCCAAAGACCATCAGAAAACATATATTTCTGATGGTCTTAGGAACCCCTTTGGAAGAGAAGGTCTCCGCCTGACCTTCTTTTCCTTTTTGGAAACAGATGGTGAATCCTTCCACCAAAAGCCCTCCTCTGCTGTGATTGACTGGCCTCTCAGCCAAGGGGAGGGCTGTTTCTGTGACTCCAAGAAGAGAGGGGAGAGCAGCCATACTTGGAGCATGGCAGCATACCACACATGCACGAGCGAGGGAGAGTGTGTGAGGCTGGGGGGAGGTTAGTGCCAGCGAGTCCCTTCAAGGCATGGGGTTTTGTGTATGAAGTTTGGCCCAATTGGTGGGGCTCAGAATGCTCTTTGTGATGAACTATAAATCCCAGGAACTACAACTCCCAAATAGTAGGTTTGCCTACTCTGGAACATGCAACATATAATTGTCCTTCTTTAGGGGTCCTTTTCAAATCTATGATACTATCTCTCTCTCTGTGTGTGAATCATATATATCTATCTATATCTATGGCTGAATGGCTCTTTGTCAGGAGGGCTTTGATTACGTTTTCTTGCCCTGGTGAAGGGAGTTGGACTGGGTGGCCTTAAGCATTTTCTGTTGGTCTGTGTAGGAAGTTTGCCCCAATTCTGTCGTTTCTGGAGCTCAAAATGCTCTTTGATTGTAGTGAACTATAAATCCCAGGAACTACAACTCCTAAATGGCAAGGTCTATTTTCCCCAAACCCCACCAGTGTTCACATTTGGCCATATTGATTATTCATGCGAAGTTTGGTCCAGATCCATCATTGTTTGAGTCCACAGTGCTCTCTGGATGTAGGTGAACTACAACTCCAAAACTCAAGGTCAATGCCCACCAAACCTTCCAATATTTTATGCTGGTCATGGGAGTTCTGTGTGCCAAGTTTGATTCAATTTCCTCATTGGTTGAGTTCAGAATGCGTTTTGATGAACTCTGCGGGATTTATAAATTAACTATAAATCCCAGCAACTACAACTCCCAAATGACAAAATCAATCCCCTCCCAACTCCACCAGTATTCAAATTTGGGCGTATCTGGTATTTTTGCCAAATTTAGTCCAGTGAATGAAGATACATCCTGCACAGAGGCGGCCCTAGGTAATTTTCAAAGGTAAGCAAACAGTATTTTGCCCCCCCCCCCCAAACCAATCATTGATATATATTTTCTGTTTGTTGTGGGAGTTCTGTGTGCCATATTTGGTTCAATTCCATCATTGGTGGAGTTCAGAATGCTCTTTGATTTTAGGTGAACTATACATTCCAGTAACTACACTTGCCGCACTTGCTTTCTTGCCAGGCCCACTTTGGGTCCGGAGGCATGCCTGAAGACCCCGGCGTGTGCACCAAAAGTCACCTCTTCTCCTGACTTTCTCCTCAGCCATTGGGACCAGAGAGAGAGAGAGAGAGAGAGAGAGACAGGTGGAGATGCCCACCTTTCCTGAAGGTAGGCGCAAAAACAAAGGAGGGAGCGGAGGTGGGAGATACCTCCAGCCGGAGGGGCTCTCTCTCTCTCTCTCTCTCTTGGTCCCAATGGCTGAAGAGAAAGTCAGGAGAAGAGGCGACTTTTGGTGCGCACGCTGGAGTCTTCAGACACACCTCAGGACCCGAAGCAGGCCAGATCGGCAGCTCCGCCCCTTGGCCCACCCGCGGATTGGGGAGAGGAGAGGAGGCGGGTGGAGCGCAGGGGATCGGGAAAGGGAGCCGGTCATGGGGAAGGGATCGAACGCGGAGAACGATTGAGCGCCGGCTCTGCTCGTGCACCCGGTGGCCGGGTGGAGCAGGAACGAGAGGGGCTAGGCGAGGCTCAAGGGCCCGGCCCCTTTGGGAAGAGGATCGCCCGGCAGAGGCAAGAAAGCCGAGGCTCCCCCCAGACTGCTAGGGCTGTTGTGAGCTGAGGGGGCGCTCCTCAAGTGGCGGTTGAGGGGCATTTACAGAGGCGCCTCTGCGCCCCTAGCAAAAAAAAAGTGTTCTGTGACCGCTTACGTCACGTAATGGATGAGCCGCCCCTGATCCTGCATATCGGATATTTACATGATGATTCACGACAGTAGCAAAATTACAGTTCTGAAGTAGCAAAGAAAATAATTGTATGGTTGGGGGTCGCCACAACATGAGGAACTGTATTAAGGGGTTGCGGCATTAGGAAGGTTGAGAAACACTGGTTTAGAGCCAATGGGTAAGGACAGCCAAGTTCACAGCATACTGTTTTGTAGGGAAATGGGGGGAACGATGCTGCGTGTACTGGAAGGAAGGGGGGCAGAAGCACAGTAGGGAGGAGCTGGGAGCAGAGCCTGATTCATCCCAACCACCGAGACGATGAACAGATCCTGCAGGGATCCCTCCAGGTAGAAGACTGTTTGGCGCCTCACCTGACCACGGACTGAAATGTCAAAGCGGATGCCGTAGAGTTTCAGCAGACTCCGGGAGGGAGGAGAAAGTGGGGCCCGGTAATAGGAGGCTGTCCTGGAAAGAGAAAAGACCCTGGCATCCATTTCATTTATTTTTATACCCCATCACCATCTCCCCAAAGGGACTCGGGGTGGCTTACATGAGGGACCAAGCCCAGAACAAACAACAGAGTTCACCAGCTAAAAACATAGTTAAAACATAATAACATATCATAATCTAATTCAGTGTTTCTCAACCTTCCTAATGCCACGACCCCTTAATGCAGTTCCTCATGTTGTGGTGACTCCCAACCATAAAATTATTTTTGTTGTTACTTCATATCTGTAATTTTGGTACTGTTATGAATCTTAATGTAAATATCTGATATGCAGGATGTATTTTCATTTACTGGACCAAATTTGGCACAAATACCTAATACACCCAAATTTGAATATGGGGGGGGGTTGGGTTGGGAGGGGGAATTGATTTTGTCATTTGGGAGTTGTAGTTGCTGGGATTTACAGTTCACCTACAATCAAAGAGCATTCTGAACCCCACCAAAGATTGAACTGAACCAAACTTGGCACACAGAACTCCCATGACCAACAGAAAATACTGGAAGAGTTTGGTGGGCATTGATTTGAGTTTTGGAGTTGTAGTTCACCCCCATCCAGAGAGCACTGTGGACTCAAACAATGATGGATCTGGACCAAACTTGGTATAAATACTCAATATGCCCAAATGTGAACACTGGTGGAGTTTGGGGAAAATAGACCTTGACATATGGGAGTTGTGGTTGCTGGGATTTATAGTTCACCTACAATCAAAGACTATTCCGAACCCCACCAAAGATACAATTGGGCCAAACTTCCCACATAGAACCCCCATGAACAAAAAATACTGTGTTTTCTGATGGTCTTTGGTGACCCCTCTGACACTCCCTCGCAACCCCCCTGAGGGTCCTGACCCCCAGGCTGAGAAACACTGATCTAATTAGACATGGAGTTTGCCAAATTTGATAGGAAAGAGGAGAAAGGCAACCAAATCAAGATTGGGTGTTTCACATCCCACAGAGGGATGGACGTTGCTGTGGGACTACAACTCCTGGCATCCCCGGCCAGCACAGTCAGTGGTGAGAATGGCAAGGAGTATGGTTCCCTGTGCCGTAAAAAAGACACTTCTGGGCAGAACACCAAATTTGACCTGCTCCAGCCTGAGGCTTCTCCCACCTGAAGTTGAATTCCTTGTCCAGGAGGTTGAAGGAATAGCCAGGATGGCATTGCGATGGGGCTTGATCGGCGTCGCAGTCCCAGTCGATGCGCAAACCAAGGGCTGCCCCCTGCGTCAGGAGCCACCAAAGGCCACAAGGGAACATGGAAAAACACAATGTGCCATTGGTTAAGCAACACCTGTCCTTCAGGAGCTACTGAAGCAGGCATCATCTCCTTTTTTTTTGGAAAGGGGGAAGCCAAACGGCATGGGATTTGGGGAAGCAAGAGACACACCTTGAGGGCCAGTTCCTCAAAGCTAGCCCCGGCAGCCTCCACCATGTCATGAATACGGAAAACAGGGCAGAAAGGGCTATCCAGAGCGTCATAGCGGCAGCCCTTGAAGTAGGCCCCATTCATCGTCTTCAAAGTGTTGGTCCTAAGAGACAGCAAGAATTAGAGGTCTTTGGGGATATCAATTACAGGAAGAAAGCTTATGGATCTCATGGGTTCAAGCGACAGGAAAGGAGTTTCCACTCAAACATTAGGAAGAACTTCCCGACTGTAAGAAGAACTTTTCAACAGTGGAACTCTCTGCCTTGGAAGTCTGGTGGAAGCTCCTTTGGAGGCTGTTAAACAGAATGGATGGCCATCTGTTGAGGCGGAGAGGGCTATGTTTGTGCTTTTCCTGCATGGCAGAAGGGGGTTGGACTAGATGGCCCATGTGGCCTCTTCTGAGTCTATGATTCTATGATTCATGCCAATGGGTCAGCTGAAGCATTGTAGGAGCTGTCTGAGGCGCCGAACCCTACAATGCTAGCCACCTTGGACAGTGCATTCAATTTCAGATGGTAAACAACAGGATTCAGCATCCTGTTGACACTGATCCAGCTTTGTAAGGTTTTCGGACTATATAAAAACAGCATGGAATTGATTGCACCAAATAATAATAATAATAATAATAATAATTTATTAATTATTATTAATAATAATAACTCTCTGCCCTGGAGTGTGGTGGAGGCTCCTTCTTTGGAAGCTTTTAAACAGAGGCTGGATGGCCATCTGTCAGGAGTGATTTGAATGCAATTTTCCTGCTTCTTGGCAGGGGGTTGGGCTGGATGGCCCATGAGGTGTCTTCCAACTCTATGATTCTATGATTCCTAATTCTAATAACAAAGCAAAGGCAAAACCAAGACAATTTCTCCTCTTGACCCTTACCTGGAGAAGTTGAATTTGGCAAAGTTGATTGTGTTTTTAATAAACAGAGTGAAATTTCCAGCTTCGATCAAGTGCGGTTTCCTACAAGGAAAACAGAAAAGAAATTGGGGGCGGGGGAGAGATGGTGGGATTCTCCGAATAAGATTCAGTATTGGCCATCTATGTTCCGTATTAATACCAAAAAGGAGGATTTGGGAACCTGGGTAAGGTCTTGTTTTCCACCGGACACCAGCCGTAGATCTCGCAGGTGTTGCTGGTAGCATTCAAATGGATACACTTTCCCGTTTTGATTCCTGAAAAAAAAAGCAAATCTCAATCTCTTCTATGGGAACCTTCGATTCTGAGTTGTTCGCTTCCCGAATAAATGGGGTGGAAAATCCAGTCCAGGGTTTAGTCTGAACTTTCAAGGGTCAACCCAAGGTGTAGAGCCTCAGTTACCACGTGTAGCGACTTGCCAATTTTGGAAGACCCCACTCAATCTCCTTACCGTTCCCATTGACTACTGGCTCTCCAGCCCTACAATCCGAATCTTGCTGGCAGTTTCCATCTGGGATTGAAGGATGCTATAAACAAAAGGCAACAAGGGAAACTATAGCTCCCACCTTGTTCCAGGCCAGTGTTGCTAAGCCGTGACATAAAGCCAAGCCACGAAAAAGAGCTGCCAACAACATACCTCAGGGCACAACCCCTGTGTTTGATTCGGTGTCGCAATGAAATTGGTGGCCAAGAAGAAGACACTTTCTCCCTAAAGAAAAGTTCCAGGAAATAGATACTATTGTTTTCTCTGTCAAAAAAAGTCAATAAAGACAGTTTGACCCTACTTGGTCTGCCATGGACTCCTGGGAGTTGTAGTTTGGCAGAGAAGGATAAGACCTTGTCAAGATACTACTAGCCCTAAACCATGGCAGTCAAAGTACAAATGCACCCATCTAAATATTCTGCCATGAAAACCCACAGATAGGTTAGGTTTTGGGTTGCCTAGATGTTGGGTTGTCACTCCCATCGTCCATAGCCATGCAGGAAGTGGCAGCCCAAGGTTTGATTCAATGCCACATACCTGAGGGGGCTTCACGTAATCGGCCACATCCCACAGTCGCTCTCCGAGCTCTTGGACCTGAATGGCCGAAACCCCTTTCAGTTTGGTGATTACTGAGAAGTGTGGGTCCGTATCCTTTTCCTGGTAGCCTTTCTGGATGAGGAGCACCCATCTGCAAGACAACCCCAGGAACAAGAGGTTCGAGGAAACCCCAAACAGGCCTCTGCTTCAATGCTATGATCTCCCTGATAGTTATGAAGAGCTGGACCTTTTCCATGGTAGTGCCCCTGATTTGATTGATACCCGAGCCACCCTATCAGATAAGAGCTTTGAAAAGGATGGCCTCTTCAGCTCTCAATCTCAGGTGGGATTCAAATAGGCTTTGAATGATTGCATTGGCTTTAACTATTGATTTTTTATGGTTATATGTTTGTTGCTAAGTGTGTTCCAGATCCATCAAGCTGCATTTCATTGTACATTGTATTGTTTTTTAGAATCGTTAACCACGTTGGGTCTCTTTTTAGAGAAAAATGTGGGATATTATCATTGTTATTATTAATGGTTATGTTTTTTTAAATTTCATGTCAAAAGCATTGCATCAATAAATAAGTATAAAACTGATAAAATAAAGGAAGCATAATAATAAGAATAGTTTATTTATATACCCATGCTAATAATAATAGTAATAATAATAATAATAAATTATTATTAATAAGTATTATTACATTACAATGTTATTATTTCTATATATTACTATGTTGTGTATACTGAGGGGACTCCGCCCTGAGTTCCCCTAGGGGTTGAGAAGGACAGGGTAAAAATGTTCGAAATAAAAAATTCGAAATAAATAAATAAATTGACAGCATGCTGCTCAGAGATCAATTGATCAGTAATAATATTAAAGATGTCCATCATGACCTCCCTGGCATTCCCCAACTCCCCTACCAATGGGATGCTGAAACCGCTTCGGGCTTTAGTCTGAACTTGGATCAAACTTAGCACCTTGGCATATGGTTTTTAATGCTGGGCTTGAACCCGGGGCAGATTTGTTGGCAGCGGCATCTATTTGGGATCAAAGACTCTGAATTCTTTCTTGGCTCCGGAAACACCAATGACTTGCAATTCGGCTCATCGAGTGCCCACCCCTTGCCCTTTCTTTGCCCAAATCTTACCCGAATGTGTATGCCAGGATGCCCAGCTGGATCAGGCGGTGCAAAAGGCCCACTTTACGGTTCCTGGTGAGGGCAAACTTCTCCGTTTTGTAGTCCAGGAAGGCTGAGCAGGTCTCCTCCATCGCCGGCCGACCAGGAAATGCCGGCAGCTTCTGGGAGAAGCAGAGCCATGCCCTGGCATGGTGCCCAGCTGTAGATTAAAAAGGAGAGAGCAAAGCATTTTAAAAGAGGAGCATCCCTGGGAGTGCCGCAGGATGGCAGAGGCAAGGTTTCTTTCCTTTTTGATTAAAATTGTACAAAGTTCCCATTCTAATAGTCATAATAATAACAATAAAATATAGTATTAATATTATTAATGTATTAATAATATTAATAGATAGGGAGGGAGGGGGCAGCCAGGAAGACAAAGCTGCATCATGTCTCCTGCAACATCACTTGGGAGCCCCTCAATATACACAACATACTAATATATAGAAATAATAACATTGTAATGTAATACTACTAATGTATAATATATAATATTAATAATTTTGTAACATAATATATTATATATTATATATACTACAACTTATGATATAGTGCAATATATTATAGAAAGTGTAATATAGTCATAGTGTATGATATATATTGTGGTAAAATAATATAATACAATAAAATAATATATAATATATAATACTAAGATATTATATATTACATGTAATATTACTAATAATATTGCAGTATAGTGGTATAGTACAATATAGTAATATGTGAAACTAATATTGTGCTAGACTCATAATATATTGTTTATACATATAATATTGATAAGGTAAAGGTAAAGGTTTTCCCCTAACATTAAGTCCAGTCATGTCCGACTCTGGGGTGTGGTGCTCATCTTCATTTCTAAGCCGAAGAGCTGGCAGAGCAGTACCTATTGATCTGCTCACATTTGCATGTTTTCGAACTGCTAGGTTGGCAGAAGCTGGAGCTGACAGCGCAAGCTCATGCAGCTCCCCGGAATTGAACCTGTGACCTTTCGGTCAACAAGCTCAGCAGCTCAGCGCTTTAACCCACTGCGCTACCGGGGGCTCCATAATATTGAAAGCAATATTAAAATATAATAGAATAGAATATTAATAATAATAAAATATAATAATATATAATAATATTGTAATATAGTAATACTAATATATTAAATATAATTACTACTCCCGATGGTGTATTGGGTTAAACCCTTGTGCCGGCAGGACTGAAGACCGACAGGTCGCAGGTTTGAATCTGGGGAGAGTGCGGATGAGCTCCCTCTGTCAGCTCCATTTCCCCATGCAGGGACAAGAAAGAAGCCGCCCACAGGAATGGTAAAACATCAAAACATTTGGGCGTCCCCTGGGCAATGTTCTTGCAGATAGCCAATTCTCTCACAACAGAGGTGATTTGCACTTTCTCAAGTCGCTCCTGATACGAAAGAAACAAAAAACCAAATAAATATATAATACTAATAATAATACAATATAATATAATATATAATAATATTTTAATATAGTAATACTAATAAATTAAATATAATTACTATTGATCATATATAATAATATACAGTGGGGGGGGGGAGTATTTAGTCAGATACCAAATGTACAAGTTCTCCCACTTAAAAAGTTGAGAGAGGTCTGTAATTGACGTCATAGGTAGACCTCAACTATGAGAGACAACATGAAATCAGAAAATCACATGGTTTGATTTTTAATGAATTTATTTGCAAATTATGGTGAAAAATAAATATTTGGTCAACTACAAACAAGCAATATTTCTGGATCTCACAGACCTGTAACTTCTTTTTGAAGAGGCTCCTCTGTCCTCTACTCATTACCTGTAGTAATTGCACCTATTTGAACTTGTTCTCGGTATCCACAACCTCAAGCAGTCACACTCCAAACTCCACTATGGTGAAGGCTAAAGAGCTGTCGAAGGACACCAGAAACAAAATTGTCGCCCTGCACCAGACTGGGAAGACTGAATCTGCAATAGGCAAGCTGCTTGATGTGAAATCAACTGTGGGAGCAATAATTAGAAAAATGGAAGAGATACAAGACCACTGATAATCTCCCTCAATCTGGGGCTCCACGCAAGATCTCACCCCATGGGGTCAAAATGATCACAAGAARGGTGAGCAAAAATCCCAGAACCACATGAGGGAACCTAGTGAATGACCTGCAGAGAGCTGGGACCAACGTCGCAAAGGCTACCATCATACCCTGGCGGGGACGAGAGATAGGGCCTTCTCGGTGGTGGCGCCTCAGCTGTGGAACACCCTTCCCGTGGACATCAGATTGGCCCCTTCCCTGATGACATTCCGCAGGAAATTAAAGACGTGGCTATTCAACAAGGCGTTCGAACAAGAAATGCAATAATTGGTAATGACGACAGGAATGAAACAACGGAATATGATACTGGATTGTGGTTTAACGATGAGACGATACGAATGGCTTTTTGTATTATTGATATTGATATTGTTGATGTTGTTGATGACGATGCTTTTGTTATTGCTGGATTGATTTTAGATTGTGTCTTGTAATTTGCACCCTGTCCTCTCTATGTTGTACACCGCTGTGAGTCGCCCCCGGGCTGAGAACAGCGGTATATAAGTGCAGTAAATAAATAAATAAATAAATAACACACTTTGCCGCCAGGGACTCAGATCCTGCAGTGCCAGACATGTCCCCTTGCTTAAGCCAGTACATGTCTGGGACTGACTGAAGCTTGCTAGAGAGCATTTGGATGACCCAGAAGACTATTGGGAGTTTCTTCACAGATTTGGTTGGCGGGGATGAGAGATAGGGCCTTTTCAGTGGTGGCCCCTTGGATATGGAACACCCTCCTCAGAGATAATAGATTGGCTCCCACTCTCCTAACATTCCGAAAAAAAAGTCAAAACCTGGCTTTGTGGGCAGGCTTTCTCAAATGCAATGTAGCAAATAATTACTTGACCTCAGAATGGCTGGACAATTGCAATTGGATGAGGATTCTGGAAATTAGATACGGAGGATTTATGTTTTTTTTATGCTTGTAGGTAAACAGTATTTCTTCATGTTTGCCAGTATTGATGTAGAGATTGTCTGGTTTGCCTACTCTGGAACATGCAACACATAATTGTCCTTCTTTAGGGGTCCTTTCAAATCTATGATACTATATATGTGTGTGTGTGAATCATATCTATCGATCGATCGATCTATCTATCTATGGCTGGATGGCTCTTTGTCAGGAGGGCTTTGGTTACATTTTCTTGTCCTGGTGAAGGGAGTTGGACTCGATGGCCTTTAGTATTTTCTGTTGGTCTGTGTGGGAAGTTTGCCCCAATTCTGTCATTGCTGGAGTTCAAAATGCTCTTTGATTGTAGGTGAACTATAAATCCCAGTAACTACAACTCCTAAATGACAAGGTCTATTTTCCCCAAACTCCATCTGTGTTCATATTTGGGCATATGGAATATTCATGCCAAGTTTGGTCCAGATCCATCATTGATTGAGTCCATAGTGCTCTCTGGATGTAGGTGAACTACAACTCCCAAAGTCAAGGTCAATGCCCACCAAACCCTTCCAGTATTTTCTGTTGGTCATGGGAGTTCTATGTGCCAAGGTTGGTCCAATTCCATCATTGGTGGAGTTCAGAATGCTCTTGGATTGGAGGTTATAAATCCCAGCAACTACAATTCCCAAATGACAAAATCATTTTTTTGAGTGATAGTCACTCCTTCGGTTAGTGGGTGTTTAGTGGCCAAATTTGATGTCAATTCGCTCAGTGGTTTTTGCGTTATGTTAATCCCACAAACGAACATTACATTTTTATTTATATAGATTTGTATATCTGAAGTTTGATTGTGAGCCAGAAGCGATTTGCAGTTTTTCAAGTCGCTATTGACACGAAAAAAAAAATCCTGGGAGGAATTGACACTGCGGGATCAAGGCAACGCCACCCTGAGAGTTGTAGTTTGCTAAGGCCCGAGCCCTCATTGGTAGAGAAGACTCAAGGCTTCGCTAAATGCTCACTGAAAACGCTCATCCTCCAATCAGCACCTTAGAGAGCTCCCTATTGGAAACTCAATGCCTCTTCCTTTAAGGGCAAAACCCTGGAGTCCATAACTTGGTTGCCATGACAGTTGAAGTGGAACCAGAGCGCTGGAATAGTGTTGGTTTGATAACAAACCTTGGCCTATTTACTTGTCAAATGCCCTGCCCCGCCCCACGCGGGGATTCGAACTCGCAACTTCCGACACTTGAACTTCCACCGCCCTACAGCCCGAGCCAACTTAATAGTGACGTCACGAACCCTCCCGAAATCCTTTAAAACACTCCTTTATTTTCACACTCTCTCTTCGTCCAATCAGGTGACCCGGTTGGCGAAAGCGCCCGCCCCTTCTGCCGGAAGTCCTGCTTCTGGAGTCCCAACCCCGACGCTGTTGCCATGGCAGCCAGAGAAAGCCTCAGTTAGAACCGGGCGGATGCCGAAGCCGACGTTGTCGCCGGTGCCTGAGCTGGAGGCGGAAGCTGGGGCTCGCCTTCCGGTGAGGATCTGGGTTTAGGGATGCTGAGAGTTGTACTTCTAACCCCCCACTACCCAATTGGCGCTGGGGACTACATTGCCATCACCCCAAGCAATTATCCCCGCCATGGCCTGATCGTTGGTGACAGGCCCGTAGCCAGGATTTCGTTTCGGGGGGGGGGGGGGGGCTGATTTTTTTTCAGGGGGGGTGGGGGGGCTGAGTCTGAGTGAAAGAGGGTCTAGCCTAGCAAACGTTTTGTATCGTTACCCCAATACCCCCATGCATATGGGATATATTGAGTATGGTGATCAGATCATGATATTAATAAACCTAACAGTTTAAATAATGCACCAGTAAGGCCTTTTCGCGAACCACCATGAGAATTTGGGGGGGGGGCTGAAGCCCCCCGCCCCCCTGGCTACATGCCTGGTTGGTGATGCTGTTTGAGGATGATGGGTTCTGCAGTCCAACTTATGGGGAAAGGGCATAAGATAATGCCTTGGTAGTGTGTGAAGCATTCTTTCCTATACTCAGAGACTCCATCTCCCAGAATCCTTGCACATTCTCCGAGGCAGCTAGGGCTGCTGGGTATTGTAGTCCAGAGCCCCTGAAGGGCTAGAATTGGATCCCA